ACTAGGATTAGGTTGGCGCCCTCTAGCGCACAGGTGTCAAACTCGTGGCCCGGGTGCCAGACGCAGCCTGCCACAGCTTTTTATCATGGCCCACTCCAGCAGTTAGTGTTTCTACTTCAAGATTCGGGGTAATTGGATTTGTTGATTTCATTTTAGTACAAAATCTGTATCGGAAATTGCAATTTTTCTTGAAATAATTTGATGGGTTTTTTTTTGTTTTTTTTAACCAATCCCTTCTTAACTTGAACTAAACAATAGTTGTATACTTAAATATTTGCTTATCACATATTTTCATGACTTTAGATATCAAATTCAATTGATTGTCATAATATATATGAAAACAAACAAACAAATGCAAGGGCAGTTGGGTGTGATACAGGATACTTTTCAGAGACTTTTTACATTCATAACACTAACCATCGCGACCAGTCTGACTCAGCGGGGTCAGAAATCTATGTAGCCCCAGTTAAGTCCCTCGAGCTTTTTAGTTGCTATTCTAAAATATATTGATAAATTACTTTCTCAAACCCATTATGAATTGGTCCAGCCTCCCTTTTTCCCGAGGATACAAAAAAAAAAAACCTAGAGCCTTCCCTACGATCTACCCCAAATGTGTCTACAACCCACTTTTAGGTCCTGATCCCCCACTTGAGAAATGAGTTTGACACCTTCGCTGTAATGGTATGATAAAAAAATAAATCACTGCCAAAGTATAGTTCAGTTGTATTTAATTGTTTGGTGCATTACATTTTATGTACAATATATTTTAATTGAATTATCATGTAAACACAGTTTTCTTTCAGGTAAGCACAGTGTTGATGTTCAAACCGTGCCGAGTGTCACAGTGTCTTCCAATACGATTAAATATTATTTTTAGGAAAAACGTCTGTCTTGATTTGGATGTGTAGCCTTCTTATGCTTTCTACTTGGCGACTGTATGGTGGCACTTAGAAAGCTAAGAATTTTTTTCACAAGCACAAATTTATTTTTATCACAGCCAATGAAGGAAGGAGTAATATATCTGTCCAAGTTCACTATCTGTCCAACTTTAAAATGAGCGGGAAGCCGCAAAGCTTATTACATCTTTAGGTGTTGTTTAAAAAAAAAAAAAATATCCGTTTGATATGTAGTGAGCTTACATTTACACTAGAGGACGCACTCGACTCTTGTGAAAATCATTTGCGACGCAGGGGTGCTGGAGCCGATGCCAGCCGTTTTCTGGCAGTAGGCAGGGGACACCCTGAATCGGTTGCCAGCCAATCGCAGAAACCCACCCGGAGAAAACCCACGCAGGCCCGGGGAGAACATGCAAACTCCACACAGTGAGGCCGGAGCTGGAATTGAACCCGGAACCTTTGCACTGTGAGGTCAATGCGCTAACGACTGGATCACCGGGCCGCCCCAGTACAATACATTTGCACACAATTTTATGAACCATAAAGAGTGCACATTTAACCTGAGTAATGAGTTAAAACAGAAAAAGTGATATAGAAGTTGGCTGGATGGATTTTTTTAATTGAAACATCATTATTCAAGTCCATTTTTAAATGTTTCCAATATTTAAGTTAATGACAAACTTTGCATAACGTTACATTGGTTTACAATAATATTAAATATACATTTGTACGAATAAAACCACTTCCTCATTTTTGATGAGAAAACTTAAGCGTACTACTTCACTGTACAATATTTTAATATTCGTTATTATCGTTGTACTTAGAGAAGTAGGTACAGTAATTTTGATCTATCTCGGCTTTTACGACATCCGTTTCCCCGGAAACGAGATATGGTGTTGCTCTCGATTTAATCGCTGCTCTTTGATGTCCACGTCTCCTTGGTGTCCGGTCCGAGCCTGACGAATTGCCTGTCTTCCTTCTTGCCTGACTGCCAGCTCCCTGCCGGTCGGTCGCGATGTGTTACGCGACCCGGCACTAGAAAAGAAAGAAAAAAAGAAAGAAAAACACACTCGGGAGGAAACTTATAGAAATGGCGGAGGGCACAGTGACTCTTAAAGGCTTGCGCAGCCAAATGGGTAAGACAATCTTGAACTGCAATTTTGTTCGAGTGAGTTGTTTTTTTGGCGGTGATTTGAACGGGCTGCGACGCGGTCAGCATACCCCCCCACCTCCTCCACCACTCGTGGCTAGTAATGTTAGCTTCCCTCGCCGTCTCAATGTACCGTAAAATGGTACACTTTTACATTTATATGCCGTAAACTTAACGTGACAAGGTTACATTTCGGAGTCACATCCCAAATGGGAACTTCACGACTTCGCTTAATAGCACTAGCGGCTAATGCTAAGCCGAAGTTGTAACGGTATATTTTTCGCCAGACCGGGTTGACGTTTGTTCGACGACTTTTTTTTTTTTTTGTGAACTTTTTTATGAACATGTCATGAGTAGATCTCAACTTGAAACGAGATAAAGTAAATCAACATTTAATGACTTCCTGGCGCTTAGCATCTACGACGTAGCCGCGTTAGATGATCAGGAAGAGTTAAGAGTCGAATCTCAGGTGTGCTTTTGGACTTCATTTGCTCCTGTTTTATAACTTATTCATTTTCTTTTTTTACCCTGAAACAAGTTAATGACTTGACTTTCATCTCATCTGATTGCCAGTTTGCTAATTGTTTTCTAATGCCCGTTTCTCGTCATGCCCTTTAGTGGCAAGTGTATGTTGTTGACATATGGCCTAACCCCCTCCCTTTATGTCTGCAGGGTTACCATAACAATGTCTGACCTGAATTTTTTTCGATCAGGCATCAGTGCCACACTTGCAGACAGCATAGATAGCTGATGAACTGATAAGGGTTTGTGATGCAAGAGTGACTGCTGACTGCATATGTGAGGTTTCAGTCTTTGCGGAGGCATGAATGCACATTTTGTTTTCACTGGGGGCGGGAGGTGCAGCTGACAGTTTTTCAGTGTGTTTCGGAGACCAGAGAGGGAAGGACGGCTTGATGCATACCCAGTGTGGATGTGGGCGGGTGTAACTCCTGGCAAAAAGTAGCCTCATTTAGTGCTGATGGTCTTCCTGTTTCCCCCCTTAACTTTTCCATCCAGCGCTTTCATACCGGAATCTGAGGCTGTCCAGATTTGTGGTTTTATGAAAATACGGTAAACCCGCTGCAAACAGCAACAAAAGTGCAAGTAATTGGCACCCCTTAAATGTACCATATCTTTTGATAGTTTAAAACTGTAAATATACCACAGACTATAATCCCAACTCTATAAAAAATTAGCATGGTTGCTACTAATGAATATGAAATAATGAATTATCCTATTGATTATTTTTTTCATTAATTGGTGATTTGGCTGTGCTGATCTCTAAAATGTTCCTTTTTTTTTAAAAAAAAAAAAGGAAATTATTTCAAATTGAAATTGCAGAAAGTGCACATCTTTAGGTTATGATTCAATGCAACAGAATTGCATAATATTTTGTGGCCTTTTTTTATCTTGCACTCAGCAAATACTCAATGTATGAAGAAGACTAAAACAAATAATAAAAAACAAAACTAACTATCTTGAAAATCCCCAAACCATCCCTTGTAATGGATACTTGTTTTTAATCCAAGTATATTTCCGTGTGAAACTGGTCCTGCTGCTGCTGCTGCTGCAAAAAAAAAGTCATCAACCATGACTTGAATTTCATCATACGATAGTCAGCTGCAGGATTTTTTTTTAGGTGTTTAACCCCTAGTAGAGGCCTTACATAATGAAATCAAGCATCAATTGTGCTCAGTCATTCCCATGACTACCGGTTATCATCTTCAGCTGGTTTTCCACAGTACTTGGACTTTGTTTTTTTTTTTTTTTTTTCACTTTAAAGATGCCTTGTGGTTGATATTCTCCTTCTTTGCACGTGTGCAACTTTTAAGGCATATTTTCCCCCCCCTGACAAATTTGACTGGCTTAAAGGCGTTGGACCTTCGAGGTCACACTGTAATGTCAGGAATCCCGCTCATGCGCATGGCGATTTCCACAAGAATGCAGGCAAGGAGAAAAGCTACCCGGTCGAAATGATGGGTTGGCACCACTGCAAGGTTATCAGGTCTTGCCAAATTATTAAAAGCATGAGAAGTATTTCTTGAAATTGGACTCAACCACCATCGTCCCAAGCGCCTTTGATTTCACTGTGATTTGTTCTGTTTCTTTTCGCGTTGCTCCCATTCCTTCCTGTGCTTTTATGTAGTCACTGGTCTGACACACGCTGTGCCAGGAAGGTCACCCTAACAATTCGAATATCAAAACTATGTTTAGTGTCTTGAGCCAAGGTTCGGTAGGTATATGTAGTTTCATTTTTGACTTGCCTGTCAAAGTCAGCCTCATAGCTATAGTTAGGCCAGTCTCAATGGCAAATAACAGATAAAAGACTGAATGAGGTCCATCTGGAAGACTCCCTAGGGTTGTGTCTGCGTGCCAGGACGCACTGCAAATAGCCCAGGCTTACACCTTTGCATGACAAGGTCTGGAGTAATCCTGTCGAAGATCTGCCAATGTGTTTAAAAACGTGCATGTGCGCATGGCACTATGAGCAGGCATCATGTGTTCACTGAGGACCTGCCGGTAAGCCAGCCATGAGATGCCGCAGGCCAAAATGCCTCATTTCAGGTTACAATTCTTTATTCAGACTCGTTGATAAATGGGATGTTCAATTTAGATCATATATTCATGGAATATACAACAACATATAGGCAGCCCGTTGGTCAGCGCATCGGCCTCACAGTGCAGAGAGGTGCAGGGTTCGATTCCGGCTGCGGCCTTCCTGTGTGGAGTTTGCATATTCTCCCTGTGCCTGCGTGGGTTTTCTCCGGGTACTCCGGTTTCCTCCCACGTTCCAATAACATACGTGGCAAATTAATGGAACACTCTGAATTGTCCCTAGATGTGAGTGTGAGCGCAGATGGTTGTTCGTCTCTGTGTGCCTTGTAATTGGCTGGCAACCGGTTCAGGATGTCCCCGAAAACAGCTGGGATAGGCTCCACCACGCCCCGTGACCCTTGTGAGGATAAGCGCATCACAAAATGGATGAATACATGAATAACAACATATAACATATACACATTGATGTTTGTGCATTTTCATATCAATTTGAGCAAAATCAGATGCGCGCTCTTCATGCATCCATGAGGCGCTGGATCGGTACTTGCTATCGACAGATCCTCAAAAAACAAAGACTCAGACTCGGGTCCCAAAAAAAGCATGAGTGGGACATCCCTAGTGTGTATTTTGAATGTTGTCTAACAGATCATAGCCGTGCGACCCTCGTGAGGATGATGTAGTTCAGAAAATGGATGGATGGGTGGATATTTTACATGTAGCTCTTCACTAGTGTAGTTGTGGACTAGTGCACAGTTTTTCCTCACTCTTATGGCAAATAGTTTTTCTGCTAGCAAGTCCTAATCCTTCGACCAGTGCGCGGAAATATCATACAGTAGTGGGTGGCGGGGGGGGGGGGGGCTT